ACTCTGTCTCTAATAAAAATACAAAAATTAGCCAGGTGTGGTGGCCCATGCCTGTAGTCCCAGCTACTCGGAAGGCTGAGGTGGGAGGGCCACCTGAACCCAGGAAGTTGAGGCTGCAGTGAGCTGAGATCACGCCACTGCACTCCAGCCTGGGCGACAGAGTGAGACTCCGTCCCCAAAAGAAAACAAGCAAAAAGGCTATAACAAGAGTCACCACCTAGAAAACAATCACTATTCACATTTTGGAGTGTATTATTATTTTTTCTCTCTCTGCATTCATTCTTCTGGCAGACACTGAGGATTCCTCCGTGACAAGACAGGCAGGGTTCCTCCCTTTCTGGTGCCTACATGTCAGTGGGAAAAATGATACATAAATCTATATAACATCTACAGACAAACAAGACAGGGCTCTCTGAGGAAGTCCCCTCTCCCCTCTCTCCGTCTCCATTGCCATTGATTTCCTCCCCAAGAATCCTTCCTTTTCTTCTGCACATCTGTGCTTCGGCAGACAAGGGCTTAGTATACCATGGGAGGGTGCCAGGGCTCAGGCCTGGGTGGGCTGCATGCTGGGACTGTGCCCCTGGGCAGGGGAGAAGCAGCCCCGCCCTTGGCAGGAGCGAGATTCACTTGGGTCCTTGTCTAGAGTGCTCAAGGCTGTTAGTGCCCCTGCTTCATGCCAGCAAAGCCTCACTCTGGTGGGTGGAAGGAGAGCCTCTGCAGAAGTCGGGCCCAGAGAAGGGTCTGGTCACCTGGCCAGGTCACAGAAGCCAGGACCCAGTTTGTTCTCATGAGGCTTGGGACCTCTCATGGCCCTTTCTTTGCACTCCAAGTGGTGTGAAGGAGAAGGAGGGGGTGCTGAGGCAGCTGAGGAAGGAAGGGAGAGGGAGAGGAGGGAGGAGAACCAGCCTCGTTTCCATAGCAACCACACATGTGAGCCAGCTGCGTCACCATGGAAACAAGGGGAGCCTGCTCAGAGGCTGCACTGTCTCAGGGGAGACACAATTTTTGACCAAAAAAAAAAAAAATATATATATATATATGTATATATCCTTTGATAAAAATAAAGAAAAAATAATGAAAGCCACACTCTCTGGGATTCGAGGGCACTGCAGAGTGAGGTGACAGAAAGGAGGGGGCTGGGCTTTGCAGAGGATGCTGCGGCTTCTGCTGCTGCAGAGAATTGCCGAGTCAGTGTTTTAGAGCCAAAGGGCGCCTCAGAGACCACCCCCACTTGAGGGATGAGAGTGGGTGCTGGGAAGGGAGGCTGGAGGCTCCTGGAGGTCCCAGGGCAGGAAGAGTCAGCACAGGGAAAACCCAGGGCCCCTAGGAGAAAGGCAGGGCCACGCTGGTTCTGTGGGGCTTTTCTTTTTCTTTTTTGTGTTTTGAGACAGAGTCTCTCGTTCTGTTGCCAGGCTGGAGTACAATGGGGGGATCTTGGCTCACTGCAACCTCTGCCTCCCGGGTTCAAGCGATTCCCCTGCCTCAGTTTCCCGAGTAGCTGGGACTACAGACACCCGCCACCATGCCCAGCTAATTTTTGTATTTTTAGTAGAGACAGGGTTTCACTATGTTGACCAGGACGCTCTCGATCTCTTGACCTCACAATCCACCCCCCTCGGCCTCCCAAAGGGCTGGGATTACAGGCGTGAACCACCGCCCCTGGCCTGGGGGCTTTGCTTTTCATGAGCTGGCATGTGGAGCCAGGAGGGAGAGAGAGGCAGGCGGGCAGGTACGAGCCCCTTTAGCTGGGACAGGCGGTCCCGCAGATGTCTTGGCCTCTTTTTTCCTTTTCCTTTGCCCCACCCTTCTGCTAAGCTCAGCCTCCAAGGTTCTGGCTGCCTCCCTGGGGACAAAGCTGGGTGAGCTCCCACCAGTTGGGCAGGAGAGGACCGGGAGGTATCCTCCTAGCTTAAAGAAAGGGCAGGGGGAAGGGTGAGAAATGCCTGGAGAGAACTGTGGAGCTTTCTTTTCTAGGGAAAGCCACGCCTGCCTCAAACTCAGTTTGGTGGGGATGGGACAGCAAGAAGTGCTCCTGGCACACTGGTCCTTGACTAGATATTTGGCCGTAAGGAGATGCTCTTGGTAGGAGTCAAGTCAGGAAAGATCAGGAAATACACAGGACAAGAAGGTGGGGGCCTTAACAAATCTTTTTTTTCTTTTTTTTTTTTTTTGAAGGCGTCTCGCTCTGTCACCCAGGCTGGAGTGCAGTGGTGCGATCTCGGCTCACCGCAACCTCCGCTTCCTAGGTTCAAGCGATTCTCCCCTCAGCCACCTGAGTAGCTTGGGATGGCAGGTGTGCACCATCATGCCCGGCTAATTTTTGTATTTTTAGTAGAGACAGGGTTCTACCATGCTGGCCAGGCTGACTTCGAACTCCTAACCTCATGATCCTCTGCCTTGGCCTCTCAAAGTGCTGGGATTTCAGGGGTGAGCCACCGAGCCTGCCCCCGTTTTTTTTTTTTTTTTTAAATCACAAGGCTTTCTGAACTGTGGGGTTTTTTTTTTTTTTTTTTTTTTTGAGACGAAGTCTCGCTCTGTCGCCCAGGCTGGAGTGCAGTGGCCGGATCTCAGCTCACTGCAAGCTCCGCCTCCCGGGTTCACGCCATTCTCCGGCCTCAGCCTCCCGAGTAGCTGGGACTACAGGCGCCCGCCACGTTGCCCGGCTAGTTTTTTGTATTTCTTAATGGATGGTCTCGATCTCCTGACCTCGTGATCCGCCCGTCTCGGCCTCCCAAAGTGCTGGGATTACAGGCTTGAGCCACCGCGCCCGGCCAACTGTGGGGTTCTATGCAGTAGAGATGGGCCCATACCAGACAGGGGAGGCAAAGAGTGGACGCCATCCAAGTGTCCTCCCGTTTCACCAGAAGAGTCTTTGCTTTTATCTCTTTTATATGCTTTTTTTTTTCCTTTCATAAAGCACTTTCCTGAATGTCATCTCATTTGCTTCTCTCATCACCCGTGAGGGGAGATGAGCCCATCCCTTTTGTGAGGATGAAGACACAGCCTCAGAAAGGTTAAGTTCCATGCCCGAGGTCACAGAGCTCCCAATCAGCCAGAACAAGAATCCCAACCCCAGTTCTAGGTGCCGACCCCATTTCACAGGCACGGGAGACTAGACACGCCCAAAGGTGTGCTTCCCGGGCAGGATCATCCCTGGCCTCTCCGAGAAGAGCCCAGAGCTGCGAGGAGACCCTGCCCCAGGACAGTGACACGGATTGGCCCAGGTCAAGGGCACACCTGGGGGCAGTGGTCTTGCCATCTCTTTGTCCTGGAGCTCCATCTACTCTTTCCCTAGGGCTTTGTGCAGCCTCAGCTGAGAGGCCTGGAGATGAGGGTGAAGGGCAGGCAGCAGCCACAGGGGGCTGGGAGGGTGGGACTCTGCCAGGGCGATGCGGGGCGGGCGGCGGAGAGGGCGGGCTCCGGCTTAACTCTGCCCTCACCTCTGGGAGGCTGGTGCCTCTTGTCAGCTGCCCTTCATTCCCCCCATCCCCCCGCCTCTAAGGCAGCGACCACGTGGGTGAGTTGCCATGGAAACTGTGGAGTTCTATTTGAAAGCAATACATGGTGTAATGTGAGATGGCTTGTTGGGGGGTGATGGGAGGTGTGATAGGCAGGTGGGGCATCTACACCTGTTTGGCTAAAGTCCTCTCAGCTCATCTCTTACCACCAAAAACTGGGGGCCAGGCCACCTTCTTTCCCACAAGATACTCGCCTCCCCTACAGTCCCACTGCCAACCACCCACTTTCCCCAATCCTATTTGTAATCTCAGGCAAGAACCCCCAGGCACTGTCCTGACTACCCCCCCACCCCAGAGAAGGAGCCATTATCCCTGTGACATAACACTAGGTGGCAAGAAACCAAGGAGGTCATTTTTGCCGTACAAGAGACAGGACGGAGCTGCAGGGATTATCTGGATTACAGGGCGCCTGTGTGGGAAGGGGGTGAGCAGCGTTGGGGTCCTGGTGCTCCAGAGATGAACACGTGAACCCCCCTTCTCCCCCTCCCCACTGAGGTTTAGCAGCAAGGCCGGCCAGAGTCTGAGGGCTCACAGGAAGCAGGAAGGCTGGGTCTAAGGAGAGATGGGCTTGCCACGGCCTCAGAATTTCCCCGTGGCCCACACCCAGTCCCTTGCTGCTCCTGCTCACGCCTGGTTTAGGCCCTGCTCTTGGTCTTGTCTGCTGTCACTTTTTCTATGTCCCCCACTCCCACCCCCCATCCAAGTCATAGCAGAGGAGTTCTGAATTTTCTCCTCCATTTAGCTGTGTGACTTGGGGTAAACTGCTAGCCTTTCTGAACTTCACCAGCTTCTTCCATGAAACAGAAACAAGGAAAAAAAAAAAAAACCCTGCCTCACAGAGTTGCTGGGGGATTAAATGAAACAATGTATTCAAAGTGCTTAGCATAGCGCCTGGTGTCAACAAAAATAGAAGTATGATTACTATTATTATCCATCCTTCAACACTCAGAACAAACCCCATCTCCTCCAAGAAGCCTTCCTTTCTCTGAGGGAGGAACTAGGGCTTAGGCGCAGCTGCTGTGTGCCAAGAGCTTCGATGCATTTTCTTACTGCGTCCTCACAACAGCCCCGGGAGGGTGGTGCTGTTTTCATCATCCCCATTTTATAGAGGTGGACACGGAGGCGCAGCGAGCATCTTGCTCAAGGTCGTTGGCTAGTAAGAAGCAGGTTCAAGGTTCAAATTCAGCCTGTCTGGTTTTAAAGCTGTGTTTTTTCTTTTTCTTTTCTATTTCTTTCTTTTTTTTTTTTTTTTTGAGACCGAGTCTTGCTCTGTCGCCCAAGCTGGAGTGCAGTGGCGCGATCTTGGCTCACTGCAACCTCCGCCTCCTGGGTCCAAGCGATTCTCCTGTCTCGCCCTCCTGAGTAGCTGGGACTATAGGCGCCCGCCACCACACCCGGCTGATTTTTTTTTATTTTTAGTAGAGACGGGGTTTCACTGTGTTAGCCAGGATGGTCTCGATCTACTGACCTTGTGATCCGCCCGCCTCGGCCTCCCAGTGTGCTGGGATTACAGGCGTGAGCCACCGCGCCCATCAAAGCTGTGTTTTTGATACCATGATATGCACCTCATAGATGGTACAACTCCTCCCCCAGCCGTTTTCCTTCCAGTTCAAAGCAGGTCATCATTGCTTCTGATTTCTTTCTTGCCTTCTTTTTGCCTTGATTCCCTGCATAAGGGCAAAGAGTAAGGAGTTAAGCTGAACGCTCAGGGAGGGTCAGGAACTCAGACATCTCCTGGCTTACTGGAAGCTTATACAGCAGGGAGCTAGAAGCCAAGCTCCGATGTTTGTGAGAAGCAGGTGACCCAGGTGGGGAAGGGGTTCCAGATGCTGGTCGAGGTGGGCTGGACTCCAGCAAACTCTCCCCAAGCCCACTCTGATTTTCTGCTTAGCTCTGGCCTTGGTCTCTCGACCCCAACTTCCCAGACCAGGCCTGGTGAGGGTTTGATGGATGATCTTGACCTGGTTTTGTCTTTTGGGGGGGCTTGAACTGTCTCCTTTAAGGAAGAGGAGAGAGATTGAGGGAGAGAGAGTGAGAGGGTTGGGGGAGAAAAGAGAAACAGGAGGGAAGAAGGAGGAGGGAGGAAATGGAGAAGGGGAGGGAAAGACAGCCGGATGGAGAGGGGAGGACAGGGAGGAGGGGAGGGAAGCCAGCGCAGTGTGGTTGTGAGCTCCGAGGCAGAAGAAAGGATGAGAAAGCAAGAAATCAGCTTCAAGAGAAGGACGAAGAGGGGAGGGAGCCGAAGTTGGTGGGAGAGTGCGAGAAAGAGGAGGAGGGCGACAGAAAGAGAGCGAGGGAAGGAGAGCGAGCTGGGGGAAGGGAGATGAGAGGGTGGGGAGAGGCCTGGGGAGAGAGAGGAGAACAAAGGCAGAGATTGAGCGCTGCTTTCTCCCACCACACACGGAGGCCTCAGTGGGCTCTGAGGGACTGAATGAACCTGGAGCCAGTCATGACTCAGCCTTGGGGCTCTCCTGCCCCACAGACAAATCCTTTCTGGCTCAGCAGTTTCTACTCTGTCGAGTGGGGGGTACCATCCTCCACTGTCCATCCTCTGCTGTCTTCCATCGTCCTCCACTGTCCATCTTCTATCATCCTCTATCCTCCATCCTCCACCCTCCATCCTCCACCCTCCATCCTCCATCCTCCACCATCCTCCTCCTCCGGCATCCATCTTCCATCGCCCTCCACCATCCATCCTCCTCTGCCCTCCGTTGTCCATACTCCACCGTCCTCTACTGTCCACTCCTTTCCTGGGAGGGAGTCTTCCCTGAGGTCCTGATGAAAGCTCCGTCCCTGCCTCCCAGGACTTTGTGACTGGTACGTGCCCTGAGTTCTTCCAGTTGCACTGTCCTGGACAACCCTTCTGGAACCTTCCAAAGAGGCAGAAACTGGTCGCTGTGCTGGAGGAGCGAGGACTGGGTGCGCACGCAGCCTGAACAATCTCCTCCTCCCCCAGCTGCTGAAGCCTGACACCTTTCTAAGGAGTTAGTGCCCAGGAGCCAGCTCTTCCTTAATAAAAGAACTCACATGTATTGCAGGAGCTAAGCAAGTTTCATGTTGTATCTCATTTAATCCTCACAGCAACCCTAATAAGTCATGGCATTCCAGTTTCCAGAAGGATAAATGAGAGTTAAGGAGGTTTGGTTATTTGCCCATACTCACATAGCTAATAAGAGGAGGAACCCTAATGTCTAGCTCTCGTCTCCCAGGGACAAAGGTCATGGTCCTCCTGGGGTTTGAACCCAGGGCAAAGGCTGAGGCAGGAGAGTATGGGATTAGCTAATGGTTTATGATGTCTTGAGCAAGTCTTGGAAGTCTCTGTACCTCAATTTCCCCATCTAGCATCTCAGTTGCCGTAGGAATTGGCGGGAGGGAGAGTTGACCCAAGGAGTCAGGACACAAAGTCAGTAAGGCAGTGTTTGAGGATGGTGTCCTCTTGCAGGGAGGAAGGCCCCAGGTACCTGAGAAAAAAGCTCTGAAATGGTGTTCCTCTGCTGGCAGCCTCATCAGCATCTTCTCGGAAGACCAGATGGGTGGTAATAAGGCCCTGTTTTCATGGGGCTTCCAAGAACCTTTCTCCAAAGCACTTTCATATATGGGTAAACACATACACATGCACAGACACAGATGCACAGACACAGACACACATGCACATACCCATGCACACACACACACACGCACAGACACACACATACACACATACCATTCTTATCGTCAAAACCACTTTCCATGCACGGAAAGTCAACCTGACTTCATTTTCTATGGCTGGGCTCCTCAGCTAGAGAAGGCCAAAGTCACATAGTTAGCAATAGGGAGAGCAGATACTACCCGGATGCATGGGTAGTGACATAGTTTCTGTCCTCAAAGCACCTTGTGGGCTCTCAGGGAATCAGTAGGCACATAGAACCCACTCCACACCCGGCCGCAGCCTAACCTCCCCCACCCCCACAGTACCTGAGGGTCATCCTGAAGACCCCATGCATGCCATGGCCTCCCCTGGCACCACCCTGCAGCCTGCTCATGCCCCTCTCCAGCCTGAGCTGCTTCTCTCCCAGCCCAGAGCCCTGGTGAATTCCCCCTGTCACCTTCCATCAGGTTCATGTTAGAGCTCCAGTCTGGAAAAGGGCTTTCCCTTCCTCCTCCCCTATCCCCCTGCCCAGATGGCGGCTCCCCTTCCCCAGGGACCAGTGATGCAGCAGCTCGGGTAGCCTGCAGTTGCCATGGTGATAGTCCTCCTTTGGGTTTCCATGGGGTGGGGGATGACAGGGAGGGTGTGAGTGTGTCCCATTTTCAGCTCCAGGTGAGGAGAGCTCATGGAGTGGAATCCCACCCTCCTTGAGTGGGGTCTGCTCCTCCTCCCAGCTGGGACCCAGCCAGCTCAGTGGCATCACAGCAACTGGGAAGACTGGCAGACAGACAGGGACACTGGACTGAAGAAAGATGCCCCAGAAGGAGCACTGGAGGTGGGGGGTGGACATGGCCATTGGCACAGTTGCCAAAGGATGGAGGCCGGAACCTGGGGTGGGAGCCAAGGCATCAGGGAGCTGGGAGGAGGGACAGGCTGGAGCCTCAGAGACCCGGAAAGGGTAGGCCCCTTATTTCTGCCATCCACCCAAGGAGTCTCCCGCTGTGCTTCCCCAGTCAAGAGAAGGCCCCTCTGCTCTTCCAACATGATCTGTAATTTCCGGCAGACATTTGAGGCCCCTGACATCTGCATAATGTGGGCCAGTCTCTTAGCAACGGGGAACAGCTGTCTGGCATTTCCAAGATTAAACTGTAACTATACGCGGTCCTTGCCAGGGGGAGGGGGTGGGGGAAGGGGATAAACACTGCCTCCTGGCATTTTCAAACTCATTTAGCTTTTATTCATTTCCTGCCTCCAGTAAAGAGGCCAGGGATTCGGGCTGGGCTGTTACTGCCCCTGCCGCCACCGCCTGCCACGCCGCTGCCACCACCTCCGCTGCTGAGGTTGCAGATGGCTCTTCCCCCAGCTCTGTTCGCATGCTGGTGGGGGAGAGATAGGAGACAGCACTCGCTCTTTTTTTGGTGTTTTTATTTTATTTTTTGTAGGTGCTGCGATCCTGGCATGCTGTGTAGCTGCAGCCCAGGAAGAAAAGCCAGTGTGACCCAGCAGTTAAAGCCCTCAAGTCAGCTCGAAGCTGGGTGAATTCCATCCAGCTCCATGGCTAATAGCTAGCTGCGTGACCTTGTGCCAAATTCCTTCACCTGCCCACACCTTCACCTCCCTGTCTGTACAAGGACATAATTGTACCCTGAGGTGGCTCTGAAGACTGTGTATGCACTCAGGCAATGGATTCATGATTAATAATCGTGGCTCTCTGCTCCTTTGGTCACCTTCCAGCCGCCATCCTCTGCTAGTGACCTCGGGCTCTGCTACTGGGGCAGAGAGACACAGGCTATTTCTCTGGGAGCTGCCACCTTGAATTCCGGTTCCCTGGAGCCCCGGCGATGACATTTTTGCCCTGCAGGACTTAACCAGGGCTCAGCAAGCCCTAGCAGGGCCCTCTCTGCGGCTGGCTAGAGGTGTCCTCATCCGCTGGCCTGCTTGGGCCAGGCAACTCCTCTTTCCCAATTCCTCCGCCAGCTCCTGCCACTTGGCTACAGCGCCTGAACTCGTGAACGTGGTGTTTTGGTTTTGCAGCAAGAAGGAAAAATAAAAGGGCGGGTGTGGGGCCTGGACAGGAGGGTGAGAGGGAGAGAGAGGAGGAGGGAAAAACCCTCCAGCCGCCTGTGCTGGCCAGTTCCAGGAATGTGTTCTCGGACCTCAGTGCCAAAGCAGTGACCCAGGCGCGGCGGCCAGGCCGGGTCTGGAGGTCTTCCCAGGAGAAGGGAGAGGCCGGCTTCGGCTCCAGGGCCCGAGGCTGCCTCCCGCCTCCCCCACGCCGCCTCTGCTGACTCATCGCTGCCCCAGCTGGCAGGAGCCTTTTCTGGGGATGGCTGTTGCTAAGATTCCTTGGAGATGACTGATTGCTTCTCCTTGAGCTTTGTGAAAACATGTTTGTAGACTGCACGCAAACACACGCATGCACTCCTGGGGGCTTACACGCCTGGCCTAGACACCTGTGCATGTGCGTTTGTGTGTCCAAATGTGTGTGCACATGGAAGACCAGAACACGCTTCCTGTCCCCATCACCTCCGAGCGCACGTGTATGGACCAGCACACCCCTACTCCACCCAAAAAGGGGCTGAGACACGCCAGGCTTTCCTGGCAGTAGGGGAAGCTGCCGCTGTACAGGCCGCTCTCATCTGAAGGAGTTTCAGGTTGCCTTGAAACATTCTTGGCCTCTGTCCCTCCTGCCCTCTCTGGGTTTTTGGTTTGCTTCATTCTGCTGTAATGATCTAATCTTCCCTTCTCCCCAGGCCTGCCAGGTTTTTGATGTCTGGTGTTTCAGGCACTCAACTGGGAGCTGCTTGAGATCAGGCTGCCTGGCTTGGAAATGACTTGCCCAAGAGGCTCCAGGGAGTCTCAGTGCCTCTGTATCTGCCCCCCCACCCCGCCGCCCCGGGGAAGGAGGGGATCAGCAATAGCATTCATGGAGGGGAAGTGCTGGGCCTTTCTCCGGGCTCTGCTGTTGAATGACGTGGGAGATATTTGTTCCTCCTCTGTGCCTGGCTGAGCTGTGGCCGGGGTGAGGGTGAGGGTGCTTGGTGCTTAGCCTGCAGCCCTGGATGCCCGGTCTCCAGGGCCTTGTAGCCAGCGCCGTGTGTGTGACCTTGGTCACGTTGGGCTCTTACTGCCTTGGTTTCCCCACCTGCTGGTCTGAAATTGGACTCCTTGCTGAGTCTTCCAGGGTTTTAGTATGACAGGGCTTGGCAGGCACTTGGGCACCAGGCAAGGTTGTTTGTCATGGGTTCTTGAAGAGGTGGAGGGACAGGCAGGCCCCGTGCCAGCATGGAACCAACACTCTTCTCTCACCAGCTCTGCTAGGCTCAGGCTCAAGTGTGGCTTCTTTAAATGGACTCACCCCAGGGGCCAGATCCCAGGAGCGCTGTCTGCTGTGATTCTGCAGCTGTTGCTAGGGAAGGCTCTGTACCTGGCCTCATGGGATAAGCTGTGGCCAGCCTGAATTCAGTGGGGTTGGCAAAGCTCACAGCAGCCACCAGAAAAATATCCCTCTGTGCTCAGGTCCTCATCCTAAATGAGGACAAGGCTGGCTTCAGAATTCCTGCTGCTTTTAACAGGCAATGGTATGGGTGGGAGTGGGGGTTGGGGATTGGGAGGTGGAGTGGAAATTAAGAGAGTAAAACGAATGACAAAAATAAAAATAAGTGGCACAAAAAAACAGCTCTTTGTGGGAATGTCAGCAGCCTAATGCAAGCTCCCCAAAGCAGGAACACTATTGGATGCATTATTTTGGCTAGCACCACAAGAGTCTGGCAAATCATAAACAGTCTCAAGGCAGGAGAGTACACGGCACTGTGTCCCACGGACACCAGCGTCACCACTCAGGACGCATCAGCCTCTTGCCCAAGACTCCCAGCCCATCCACGCCCCTTGCTCCAGCCTCAGGACAAAGCAGGGCACCAAGCACTTTGCCTGCAGTCCTTGTTTTCACCAGGAGGTGGCAAGAACTTCCATATGAACTGCCTGCTGGTCAGGTTTGGGAATTACAAAGTCAGTCACCACAAAGCCGGTGAGATGGGAATCCTCAAAGGATGGGCTCTGGGCCCTAGCAGAGGTCTCTGAGCTGAGGCAGGCTTGCTGGGATCCGTTCGTGAGGATGCGAGCAGAGAATGATCATAAGGACGCAGCTTTGTTGAGCTTTTAGTGAGTGCCAGGCACCTTTCTAAGTTGTTGCATGTATCCATCCATTAGATCCTCACAACCGCCCTCTGAAGGAGGAAGTATCATGACCTGTATTTTCCAGATGGGAAAACTGAGGTGCAGCAATGTTAAGAAGGAGCTGCTCAGTAGAAATTTGTCTCCAGAGCCTAACTGTTAGACACTTTCCATCATTGCTCCCTGCTGATTGTCATGCAGGCAGTCATGGCACCAGGTGCCACCATCTTCTCCAGTGCTGCCACAGACAGAGGAGAAACCTAAGTTTCCGTGCCGATATACCATTTCCACGGCGCTTCTGCCTCTGACCTCTGGGAACTCACATATCAGCCAAGACAAGCCTCGTGGCAAATTTGATTAAGGTGTTCTCTCACTGAGTGACCAGAGCATATGATTCAACCCCTTGGACCTTATCTTCTCCCTTTCTGTACAATGAGGGGTTTATGGGGCCCCTCAGTTCCTTTGCTTTTCTGACATGCAACAATCTTAAGAAACAGCTTTCTTCAGTTCCTTTCCTTTTCTGACATGCAACAATCCTAAGAAACAGCTTTCTTCTACGACTCCCAAGCACATTACAGATGCAACTGATTTGCCTGGTCACAAGCACATGCGCACACACGTGAGATTCTGCACCTATGGGTGCAAAATCTTGAACAGAGTCACACAGATATACTGTGGAAACTGGGTAGGGCTTCCAAAAGACTTGCATTTTTATTGTATTTTTTTATGGTAGCAATGATCAGGGAGCAGCTTTGGGCTATAGATGCTTATGAGTACACATTTAATAGGGCCTCACAGACATGTACAGCTGTCAAAGGGTTTCACAGCCAGCATTGTCTGAGATAGTCGCACATGTTTTCTTGTTCATAATACTTGTCTTCCTACTCTAACACCTTTTAAAACAGGATTTTTTTTTTTTTTTTTTTCCAGGCATGGACTCAAA